TGCTGGGCAGCACTGACAGGCGACACTGCTGGGCACTGATGGATGGCATTGCTGGGCATCATTGATGGGTGGCACTGATGGGCAGCACTGATGGGCGACACTGCTGGGCACTGACAGGCGACACTGCTGGGCACTGACAGGCGACACTGCTGGGCACTGATGGGTGACACTTCTGGGCACTGATGGATGACACTGCAAGCAGTTAATCTCACCTCTGGCAGCGTCGGTGTGGCTTCCAACCCAGCAGCTCATTCCCATCCACGCTGAACACGTTGCCCCTGGCCCCGGAGCAGTGTGGGAGCCTCTTCCTCTCTTCCACGCCCATCCCCGGCTACATCACCCCTGGTGCCAGAGCCGCATTGGAGCCGTTTCCTCTCGTCCACATCCACCCTGGCCCCAGAGACATGTGGGAAATGTAGTTTGATGGGGGTCCAGTGTGGACGAGATCTGGATGGCCGGTCCGTGTGCGCTCATCTTCCTCTTCTTCCTGGCGTGCCATCACTGCCCTAGAGGAAGTCTCTGTGTTTCAGAAAATTAAGTAGTTAAAACCAGAAATACAGCTTTAAGACAGGCAATAGACGATGCGATTTTCTTTCCTACAAGCACAGGACACAGTCAGGGTTGATGGCGGAAACCCTCCCACGGACCCATTGTGTTCTCCAGGCAAGGGGGCGTTGGCAGCCGTCCTTGCTAGGAGAACACAGTGATTATTGCTAGCGGCTATAGTTGCTGTCAGTAATTGCATGCTAGAAATCTGACATGCTGGTTGTACACAAGTAGATCAATGGATCGACTTGGTTACAATCAGCTTGCCCATACATGGTTCGAATCTGGGCCATCTATGGCTGGCTTTACAGTTGTGTGTCAAAGTTCGTTTATGACCAGGCTATGGACATGCCAGTATTTATAACAATCAGTAAATGAGCTTTATAATAAGCCATCACTGAACTCTGTAACTTCAGGCATTATGAAACAATTTACATTTCACAGCAGAAGCACTAAAATCATTTAAAGGAGAAGTAGCGCTAAAGTTCTTTTGGCCCTACTTCTCTTATGGATCACTGGAGTGCACTTTGTTATGTACTCCTGTTACCTGTTTCCAGCTGACAGCGGGATAAAATCCGCTGACAAATGACGTCACTGAGCTGGTCCAGGCTCTGGAAAGATCCCGACTGTAACGTCAGGATTCACCAAGATACCTTGACCAGCAACAGGATCTCAACGAGCCACTGAAAGCCTTCCGCCCCCTGTAAAGCTGAGCACTCCAGTGAGCGCTGGAGGGGCAGAGCAGGGAGCTGGCTGACAGTCACCAGCTGTCTGCTCACTGAAGACCGAGAACTGAGTGATAAGCGATCTTTGAATGCTCGGTTCTCGGTCTTAGAGGCACCGGGGGACAAATGCAGTATTAGAACGATGCTGTATCCTCCTTGTTAGCTATGATTGTTTATTTTTTTGCATTCCTAAACTTCTCTTTTAGGTAATTTGCTCAGGAGCTCAGCTCCCGCTTCCCAACAGTGACCTGTCAGCCTTCCAGCCTTTTAATCTCTAATGTAAACACAGGACCGAAGCTCTGGTAGGGGAAGCTGGGTGAGTTGAGCAGCTGAGAAAATGACCTAAGCTGGCCATAGATGCATGGAATCTTGGCTGGTTCAGTAGGGATTGGCCGACATTCGATCCATCTATGGGCAGGCTGATTGTACCCAAGTTTATCCATTTTGCTTGATCTATGCTTTTCCTTAGCCTTGCCCTGTTACTTCCTAAAAGTTGCAGATACCTTCAAGTGGAAGTACACTGCATCTGAGCACCACAAACCAAAAATGCTATTTCATTCATTGTTAATATTCAAAGCAAACTCCCCCATCCATCCATGTCTCCATGCGTTACTTTGCTGAGAAAACATTTTGAGAAACACCCCCTAGCATTTCTGGTAGTGGTCATCTTGAGTAAGAGCAGATGATGCATAGCAATTACCCACTGGAATCAATCTGCCTTTAGATGTTGGCTAAGCTGAGAACCCTCCGTCCCCTCCTGAAGACTCCTGGGATGTAAGACATCATTTGCCTAGGCATGGAAACCAGGAAGTAACTGAAGAAATGTAAAAAAAAAATGAAAACAAGTAAATATGATATACTTTCCTATCCATTTACTTATGCTAGCAACATAACGATTAAAATAGTCAATGTTGATTGAGAGAGTGAAGTTCCACTTTAACCGGCCACTCAGTGTTGGGTAGATTTGGTGGGGTCCAATCACCTGTTGGCATATTAAGGTTGGGGCCCTGGTGATCAGCACAGCTATATACCATGCAAAAATGCTACCCAGCTGTGTTCTGTACTCATGATATTCTTGGTTGTAAACAAGATGTTCAGTGAGGAAAGTGGTGGGTCATTACACTGTATGGGATCAGCTTATAAGCAAGTCCGCAAATTCAATTGTTGATTTAAATATAAAAACATTCGGAGGTTGTAAAAAATGGATTTGTCAAAAAATGCAGTTCTAAAAGCCTGGTTGTTTATTACATTTGCAACACACCAGACTGCTTGGTTGACTTAAATGATAAAGCTGGCCATACAAAGATCAAAATTTCCCATTCATGAGAATTTGATCTATCTAGGTTTGATCAGCTCTACAGCCAGTAGGCTGCATTGCCGGTCTGTGTATTCTGATGGCGGGGGAATCTCAGCATACAGTGATACAATGAGGAGGATTCATGCATCCACACACCGAATGTATGGATATTTTCCTTTCTTAAAAGCATTAATTTTGCTTTAGTTGATTAGTTTAGTGATATGGACTTTGTGCTTTCTTGACAATAATAGCAACACGTTTATTAATTATTTGTGATATGTAAATGTTTGTGTTATTTTATTAAGTTACTTTATATAACTACATTAATTGTATAATTGTAGTGTACACTGGAATGGAAGCACTAAAAGCTTCAATAAAGTCTTGTATGTCAACCAAGTTATATCTAGATTTGCTTCTGTATCAGTAGTACTTTGTATTACTTATCTAGTTTGCTGCAAAGTGGCGCAGTCACATGATCTGACTACTGATTGCAAATATTTGTTTGTGACTTGTTAAAGTAAACTTATCAGTTGGTTAAAGAAACTAATGCAGTAGTGTCTTCGCATGTCCACTTTAGCCCCTGGCTATCCCAAATTCCAGGGTTTTGTAAAATACAAATTTCAACACTTTCGGATTGTGTGAGCTGGTCTGTCCTCTCCAGCCTCCTGTACCTTTCTATTCACCAGTAAGGCTGATGGTCTTTGAATGTTGTGTGGCTGAAAATTTTGCATGTTGTCATGGACCCTACTACCTGATAACCAACCCTGAGATCGCCTTCCTTCTTGCTTGATGGTACTGATACCAATGAAATTAGTATGTGTCTGCTGCGCACTTTAGACAAGGTATCCACCAACATTATGCTAATACAGTATATAAGAGCCATGTTATATGCCGACCCAGTTCTAGATGAACTGTACATTGGATAAACAGAATCAGTATGTTTGGCATGTTGGGTCCAGGCTTTGACCGTCAAAGTGGGCATACCCTCGGAGGGTTCATCAGGGTCTGGATTCCATAGGAATGGAACACAGATCTGGACCTGTATAGCACCCGGAAGCTAACTACACACGTCGTGCAAAGTGGTGAGATGATTGCCCACACAGGATCCGGTGCCTAAAGCAACATCACAGGCTGTCCTCATGTTGTGGGGTCTGCGTAAGGTTCCCAAGGTTTTACTGAGATTGCACAGGTCTGCATGCACTGTTTTTTGTTGTATTATAAGAAAGTGAAGAGTCAATTGAAGATTCTGAAAAAAAAAAATAGTAAACCTTTTTAAATTATCCTTTGCAGTGGACCTGCAATTACACTGCAAGGGTTTAATTGCTCATTTTGTCTGGGATAGAGGAGAAATATTTTTATTTCTTCCTCTGCTTCCATATGTTCAACACATCCTTTTGTCTTGATGACACCAGGACACTAGACTGCTGGAGCATAGGTAAGAAGATGCTGCTGGGACTGGTCTAGCAGAGAGGATTAGCGGAGGATCAGGTTAGTAAATCTTCTTTTATTGTTCCCCTAGACCTAAAAGTGCAATTAATCCTTGCAGCGTGAGTGCAGCTCCAAGGGATATTTTTTTGCTGCCTGAATGATTTCTCTGTAAGGTAGAAGAAGAGGTCCTTCACCTTAGGACGCTAGCAAAAAGCTGTGGGCTCAAGTAATGGGGTAGGGTTATAAAGTAGATGCCCAGGGGATGTGTCCTCAAAAGCTTTCCAATGTCAAATCACCTGAAGGAACCAGCCTATAACCCAAGGCCTATGAATATCCAGCCTGTGTTTTGTACTGTACAATTGAGATATACTATTTTTGGAGGGTTACGGTGCACTTAAACTTGTGTTTTGAGTTTATACAAATGTTGTTTGCTTATTGAGGTAAGCCATTAATTTAAAGTGCATTTAAACCCTATCAATAAACGTACCTTATTTTCCATATAGTTAGTCATTGAAAAGACGCAATTCCACATTGGATCGCAGGTGCAGTGTTAGGCTCCCACAGACACGTCTTCCAGCTTACTGCCCATACCAAGGTCGGGGCTTTCAGTTGGAAAGCTGAAGGAAGTGTCAATGGACTATGAGTGCGCTCATTACTTTTAATAAATGTTATACTTCTAAATATTTGTGTGATTGCTTTTTGCACATATCGAAAACAACTGTTAGGCCTCATGTACACATGAACTCACCTAGTCGTTAAACTCTCCTGGCAGCAGAAAAACGCTAAATGATGCAAAAACGCATGTAAATGACATGGATAAACACCCAAGCGCTAAACGCAACTAGCGTTTAGTCGCGTTTACACACGTTTTTGCCACGGTTAGCATTTTTTAAATAGTATACATACGATTGTTAAAAATAGCACTTTGAGCTGAATAATGGCCTTAACATTGCACAACAACCATCTAACCTTATTTTCTGTCCACACAGGTGTCCCATAAAGCAATGGCAAGCAACAGCCAATTATGTATTCGCCGCTGGACCACAAAACATGTGGCCAAATGGTTGAGAGAAGAAGGGTTTTGTGACTATGTAGATCTCCTGTGTAACAAACATAGATTAGATGGCACCGCTTTGATGGCCCTAACAGAGTATGATTTGCGCTCTCCACCACTGGAAATTAAAGTTCTTGGTGACATCAAACGTCTTATGCTTTCTATCCGCAAACTGCAGAAGCAGCATATCAGTGTCCTAGAGGAGTTGGGGTTGAGTACAGAAGCAAGTCCTGGAACCCTCAGCCTCAGTGCACCACCTAGTCCGGACTGGTTGTGTAATGGAGAACTGACACGAGACTATGATGGACATGGAGTAGACTCTAGTGTAGAACCTCATCAGTACTCCAATGGAAAAAACAAGCATCCCCCAAAGAGACTTGATCCTGAGTACTGGAAGACCGCAATTAGCTGTATTTATGTTTTCATAGTGTTTGGCTTCACCTCTTTCATAATGGTTATAGTCCATGATCGAGTTCCAGATATGCAGACATATCCTCCACTGCCAGATATCTTCCTGGACAGGTGAGTAAATATTCTTAAAATTCTACTAAGTTCTACTAAGGACAGCTCACCCTTTTTTTAAGTTTTGGCTAGAGCAGGAGGGGAGAGAACATGTTTGTCATTGTCTCTGCTAGGGAGATTCTTAATTCTATCATGGTGACCATTCAGAAAGTGGGAGGAAAACCTAATGAGTAAAAAACAACCATAATACCTAATGGACATCTAACCTATATCCAAAAATAAAATAAATATTTTGATGGGTTCCAATTTAAGTTTCCATACAGTGCATGGTCAAGGTAACATTTAGCAGCTAGCAGGGGCAGACTGACCATTTGGAAACTCGGGCACTGCCTGAGGGCCCGGGGTAAGTAGGGGGCCCCATGAGATGACCCTGGTACCTTTTTCATAGGCTTTTTTGAGTTTGGGCAAGGACACAGGGGCCCCATCATCCCCTGATCATTTGGCAAAAACAAGCAAGGGATGTTGAAATTGTAGTAAATAGATAACTTCTCCCTTTGCTTCTTTTTTTTTTTTTTGCCTTCCTCTGGATCAACTGTGGGTATGGGATTATATTTTTATTTATTTTTTTTAATGGTTGAACTGGATGGACTTTTGTCTTTTTTCAGCCAGACTAACTATGTAACTATATATTACCGAAATGTAAAACTAAACCCAGTCATTAGACACGTAACTACATTTTGCTATTTTAAATGCCTGGTTTATGGTCCTGTCTGTGGAAATTGAGTTCTGTACTGTAACAATTACATGACCATGTACTTCTCTTCCCAGGATGAAATGTTATAGGGTGCTTTTCTGCCTTATGTGCACACTGATATCCGTTTGTGTATAATACACACATTTGCAGTGCTTACATGGAAATTATAATAGGTTTAGGTGCACATGATAGTTTTTAAGGTTGAACTGAATGTAAAAAGGGAAGATTTGTCATGCTATAGGGCACGATTATAAATGTCCATTGTGCCATAACATAGCCTTGAAATTTGTTGTGAATTCCTCGAGAAATAAGAGCAGTTCACTTCCTGGCATTTGAGGGTGCTTAGGTGCTCCTGGTTTGTAATCCCATAGCTGTATATCTGCTGTGTTAGATCTAAGGCACTGTGCCTCTTTATGTCAGTCTTTGGAGGATTTGGAGGTGTCACTACTATGCTGTTCACTCCTTTCCTTGCCGAAGGCTCAGACATGAAGAGAAACACTGCATCTACCAAAATGTCTGCCTTCAGTCCAATACAGTGCAGAACAAGGCATGGCAAGTCCATCATGGGAATGATCAGTTGGAGCCACTGGTGACTATTCCATTACCCTCTGTCTTTTTGGGCACAACTTCCAGAGTTGTGTTCCTCTTTAAGTCTTTGCAGAAGAAGGTTACAGTAAGGAAAGGATGAGAAGTGTAGTTTCTGCTGGGCATTTGGTACAGAGACTAATTATCTCTAAGTCACCACGTTGTGGGAAAATGCAGCAATAATAGCAAATTTAATGTGTTCTGGACGTGAGTGTAGCAGGCACCAAGTTAACTAATGTATCAGAAACATAGGCTACCTGTCTAATAGTAACTATGATTTTTGGGATGGGATAAAACACTTTACTGTTGTTTCCCATCTAAAATTTTAAAGAAAGCTGGTTTAATGGAAAAAAAATATATGAGGTCTGCTCCTGCTATTTGATAAAGCAAATATATCCAAACAGGGAGTGAATTTCCCCCTAATAATGGCTGTAATAGGTGTTCGGACCAAGAGACACATAAGCAAATGTTGTGCCAAGAGAGCCCCAGCAGGAGGTGGTTTAACTGTCCAACATAAGACAAAAATGTAAATATTAGTCTTGGGTACACTGAGTAACTGCCTACATAGAGAGAAACAAAATAGAAATGCTGGATTTCAAATGAACAAACATTCATACTTACCTAGGTGGGTACAGCACCAATTCCAGCTAGAGCTGTTCCCCACTGGCTGTACATCGAAAAATGAGTGATCAAAAACCACTGATCTCTCAGTTCTCGGGCCCTCTCTGAGCAGAAATCAGTGACTGTCAGTTGCCGCTCTGCCCTTTCAACGCTCACTGGAGTGCAGGACTGTGGAGAGGGCAGGAGGGGCTGGCTCAGGCTCTCAGTGGCATGCTAAGAGGCCGAGCCAGCAGCCGGTCAGGAATCTGGGCAGACCCCCACATCATTGTTTGAATCTCTGCAGTGTCTGGACCGGCTCTGTGACGTTAGCCGACAGTGGGCTTTCACCTGCTATTGGCTGAATCTGGGTCAAAGGACTGCAGAACTAAGTGCACTCCTGTAACCCACAGGAGTTTCTCCAGTAGAGCTTTGACCTTGCTTCTCTTTTAAAGGGGACCTTACAATTACTTTACAAGTCTGTATGAATAAAATCCTGGCATGTAACAATAAACAGCAACAATACAATTTTTCACAAACCTGTACCTTTTATAATAAAAAGCAGTCCTTGATCTCCATCCAAACATTTTATCATTCTCCTCTCCATTAGTTATCACCTGGACTATAACTTTATAACAATTTCCAAGGTGGTAGGCTGTAGCAGGGGTTAATTAGCATTGAGCATTTGTGAAAACTGCATGAAGATCTAGAAAGGCACCAGATTTTACATTAACCATGTCTTCTCTGAGCCAACATCTCAGTCCAGGAGGTAGGTACTGACCGTGTGTGATGCCTGAACAAATATGATGCTATCCACCCAACATTCACTCACCAGCCAAGTGTCTATTTTCTAGTTTGCTTTATTTGCAGCTGGATGCCTAACTTTTATGACACTACTGTAAAGGTGCTGCAGTTCTGAAATATATGTATGTATGTATGAGCTGTCATTCCTGCTTGTAGGAACTGCAGTAACCTCGCTTATCTTTATTATGGTTTTCATAGGATAGGAATCTACATTGGCTCAAATGCAGTAAACCGTGCAGTGGATATTCACAGTACAGCACACATTCGCTTGTCTGACCATGTTTCATGTTCCATCCATATTTAGGGTATAACATGGTCCCATTCCCCAATTCTCCACCCTCAAGCATCCCCCCCTTTTCCTTACCTGAAGCGTGGGGTTTTCTCCCTGGAGCGTCTTGTTGATTTTTTGCACAGCTATGAATGGCTATACCTATGACCGCTGCATCATCCATTCACAGGGATCAGTGAATAGGGAAGACTACAGCTCCCATCTGCCACTGCAGCAGAGAAGACTCAAAGATCTCAACTGAAGACATGGACAGTGACATCACCACACTCAAAGTCCAGTGTTTACTTCCTCAAACCCAATAACAGTAGATGGGTACCTCTGTACAGACCTGCAGCTTGAATGAAAGCAATGCAGGAGCCTGTGCCTTTTACTGATCACAGTTGCAATGTCTGCAGGGTTCAATGCAAAAATGTAAAAAGTGCACTTTTATATTTTTTTTTATGTGAGTGCATCTGTTACATTTTTTTTTAAAAAGGTGGACTATGCTTTCAAATGTTTTACATTTCCAGTATGCTTGTCTATAGCTGTTTTGAGGTAGAGCCAAAAAAGTTTCATTAAAACTGGAGTCATTCTTTAATGGTGGCCATACATAGCCAAATAAAAGTAGACGATGCAACGTATCTGAGCAGTTCTAGTAATATTTGAACTGTGATTAAGGTGGTACCTGCTGAAAATTTCCTAAATACAGGTGTATCTCAATAAATTAGAATATCATCAAAAAGTTCATTTATTTCAGTAATTCAATTAAAAAAGTGAAACCCATATATTACCTATATTCATTACACACAAAGTGATATATTTCAAGCATTTTACTTTTAATATTGTTGATTATGGCTTACGGCTAGTGAAAACCCAAATTCAGTATCTAAAAAAATTTGAATATTGTAAAAATGTTCAATATTTTAGACTCATGGTATCATATAAGGCCAATCAAAAAAGGATTTTTAATACAGAAATGTTGGCTTACTGAAAAGTATGTCTATGTACAGTATAGTATGCACTCAATACTTGGTCGGGGCTCCTTTTGCATGAATGACTGCATCAGTGCGGTGTGGCATGGAGGTAATCAGATATAAAAATTATGCCGCGCTCCTCCTCTTAGTAAAAAATAGAAAAAACTTTTTCATTAAATTAACAAAAGTTAATTCATATTTCCAAAAAACTATGACATAAACCAGATTAAATCAATTTAGAAAGAAAAGAAAGAAAAGCATGTGATCAACAAATAAAATGTGACATCCAGTGTTTATCAAATGCAAATAATAAGTCTCTGTGAATAAGTGGTGACAATTCCCTGTGATTCAGGTCAATAAATATTTCCAGGTGACTTCCTTAGTGAGATAAAGATGTGCGCTCACTTCCAAGATAGCCTATAATAGGCTAATACCGCTTTTGTTCACTAAATGGAACTGTCGTGTTGCACCATGCGGAATGGTGGATTCCTCTCAGCCGGCTCCCCGACTCCTATCCCTGCTGGGATCTTACTCTCCCGCTGCTTCTCCCTTGTTTTTTTTCTCTCCTTTGCATCTGCCCTCAGTGGAAAAAAAATTAAAAAAATAGTGCTTTATCCTTTTTTAAAATTATACTTTAATAAGGTACCCCATTGCACTCAGATGTAAAAAAATATAAAAAAACGCTTTTGTATATACAATGTAGTGTCCTCAGCACGCCAAACACCGCATGCCTTGTGTGAACCTACCGTCCTCGAATGGTCAGTGACGTTGTAGCCCCTCCCCTACGCGTTACGCTGCCTGTCACGGGGCTTCATCAGGGGGTTGTGATTGGACGTTCACTCTTCCATACAATCTATATATATTAACTATCCTCCATTTTATTGTAGTTACCCTGGGCGCGGCCATCTTTTTGGGGCCGTAATTCAGCTGATTATAATCTTCTCTGCCAACGTTTATAATAAGAATACAATGTTGCTGTTCAACTCTATACTACATATCACTCCCATTCTTGGACTGATGGTACACACTTACAATGTTACAACAAAGATAATTAATGATAAATACATTGTAATACTAA